TTAGTGTAGCAGAACCCTACTGATTTTTGTGTTCTTTTTGTACCCTGCAACTTTGCTGAATTTTTCTATTAGATCCAATGGCTTTCTTGTGTAATCTCTGGAATTTTCTATGTGTAGAATAATGTCATCTGCAAATAGAGATAGATTTACTTCTTTCTTTCCAATTTGGACAACTTTATTTTCTTTTCTTGCATTATTGCTTTGGCTAGGGCCTCCAGTACAATACTGAATAAAAGTGTTGATAATGAGCATCCTTGTCTCATTCCTATTCTCAGGGGGAGGGATCTCAGTCTTTCTCCATTGAGAATAATATTGGATGTTGGTGTTCCATATATGCCCTTAATTATGTTAAGGAATTTCCCTTCTGTTCTTATTTTGTTGTTTTTCAGGAAAGGATGTTGGGTTTTATCAAATGCTTTTCATGCCTCAATCGAGATGATCACATAATTCTTTTCCTTTGTTTTATTACTACCACTCTTTACAAAAGAGAAAACTAGGAATTTAAAATATAAAGTTGCATAATATAAAAAATATGCAAAGATAAAGAACTCATTGCTCTCGACCACAGGCACCCTACATGTTGCTAAGTCAGTCCATCCCAGAGGTGTAGTTTATGTTTGGCTATAAAATGCAATAAAAGTTTCCTCCATCACTTTTCTGTGGCCCTGTGCCCTTCCTTGCCCCATGTACTGAATGAGGTGATGTGGGGCAAGCTCAATACCTTTCTCTGGCCACACCAAATCAAGAACCAAACCTATTGCTTTCAAGTCAATTCTGACTCATAGCAACCCTGTAAGAGTAGAACTGCCCCTACACGGTTTCTAAAGCTGGGAATCTTTACAGAAGCAGATTGCCACATCTTTTACTCATGGAGCATCTGATGGATTCAAACTGCTAACCCCTCGACCTTGGGCTTCAGCTCTGCCTCTTGCTTCCAGCCCACTGGAGCTCGGGGCATCTCTTCACTTAGGCAGCTAGTGGCTAACAAGCTCAAGGGCGACACATAAAATGGCATAGTTCCAAGATTATCACACAACACTGCAGGTCACTGGTTCAAGTCCAGGAACAATCCTAAGATTGGTAGACAATATAGCAGGCTGCTGAATGAAGACTTGGCTACATGCAGGGTCTAAGTGTGCCAAAAAAGCTGCAGAGACATTTCTCAAAGATGCTTCTTATATACTGGAAGCAGACCACATCCCCAAGGCAGCTACTCAGCTGCTCTAGTAGATTCCACCTTGGAGTTGAATACCACTCTCATCATGTGGAATAAATACACCCAGCTGCCCAGCCACTCAAAACCAGGCCCAGCCAAGTTAATATATAACGTTAACTACTACAAGACCAAATAGGGATGGATTTGATTTGATCCCTGAGAAGTATATATGTCTGAAGTTTGTAGTAATAAAGACAGAGCTTCCATGAGCCACTGCTGCCCCACCAAGTCCAAGATGGTAGTCCAGAGTGCTACGGAGAGTGAAGCCCCAGGATGGGGCAGAGCCCCAGGTACCTCTCAAAAAGGTTTTGGGAACATTGGTATTCATGAAGGAGAGCTGCTAAACCCTGCATTCTAGTGATTTTTTTCTCATAACACATTTTCTAAATGTATGAAGCTAAACATGTATTATTTAAGAAGAAAAAAATTCACAGGAAAATTATTTTTCAATTGCTATATACTTTCCCAGATCTTTTGGTTTGTTTTTTAAGTCATAATTTTACTTTACTGTGATGAACAGTAGTCCATACTGTCACAGGGCTCAGACTTTTGGTCAAATGGGGGTGCCACCAAGGAAACACCAGCCTTATTCAGGCAGATTCTCTTCTCCTAAGCCAGGGACCCTCAAGAGGTCCCAGCTGCTACCCACCTCTCAAGTTCCATCTCCCCAGTAAATCAGGACTCTGTGAAGCAAGGTAGACGTGCCAACAGAATCTAAAGCATAATTTTAGACTCATTATTTTTAAAAGCAGAAATGCATTTAGGAGCCCAATGTGGTGAACTTGTAAAAATGAGCTTTTATTTATCCCACATGCCAAATGTTTGGCCTCAGATTTGGCATTGAATTCCCCTTTAAAGATGGTGGCAGGAAGTAGAGGGGAGGAAAGGATATACCTTCTCATCCCAACTGCTTCCCCTATAACCAATACTTCCGAAGACAGTTCAGAGGAAATAAAGCCTGCAAAAATACAAATGGAACTATAGTAGTGTTCTCTTATTCTTCTTGAGGTATTTTTATGTTCACTGTAGAAAAATCTCAAGGAATTCATCTTGCAATAGTAATATGTGAAAAACTACACTGTAAAACAGGCTGTCTTGTTTATTTTTCTCTGGCATATCCTAAGTTGTTGTTGTTGTTATCTACTTGAAATTTCATTGTAGCTTTTTTACAAGGAGGCACATTCCAATAGCTACAACAAAGGTCAAGCAAAACCCAAAGGTGGCTTCCTGCCCTTTGGAGAAGTTGGCACACCCAAGAGAACATGGCCTATCTGTGTCATCTACATAAAATATCAAGAAAATTGAAGAAGTTAGACTTTTAGAGTCCAGCTGAAAAAATTAACACCTAATAAAACACTTAAAAAAAAAAAAAGAAAAAAGAAACCAAACTCACTGCCAGAGTCAATTCCAACTCATGGTGACCCCTTTTGGGTTTCTGAGGCAGTAAATCTTTACGGAAGTAGATTGCCCAGTCCTCCTTCTGTGGAGTGGCTGGTGGCTTTGAACTTCTGCTTAGCAGTCTAATGCTTTAGCCACCAGAGCTCCAATAAAACATATTAGCCAATTTTAAATGGAAAGAAACATTTTTAAATTTTGTGGCTAAAATGAAAGGAATGATAACAATAACTACCTTTTACTGAGCATCTACTATGTGCCAGCAACATGGTAGGTGCTTCCCACAAGTATCCTTCATAATGACTTTAGAAGGCAGGCATATCTCTATTCCAGAGATAAATTAAATGGTGGACTGCAACCCAAATGGATGCTCTGCAGTTGTAGCCTTTTTTGAGACAACAGCATTGCTTTTGCAAGTACAATCAGAGTGACCAGAGGTGTGGGCAGTTTAATTCAGAACAGCAGCTTGGTTAAGAAAGTTTGCACCAACACAACTCTGCACAGAATCTTCTAGAACATGGCACTCAGAGAAACACAATCTGTCTAGTGGGGCAAGGAGTAGAGGGGTTCTAACTTATGGCCAAGATCAGGGTTCCTGTAACAAAAGCAGGGATCTGAATTGTGGCAACGGAAAAACAGCACCCAGCCACACCAGAGCCCACAAAACAGTGGGAAGTAGCATTTTCACAAAAGGCCAATTCAAGATAATAAAAATCTTTTCAGGGCATTTCTTTTTTTTTTTTTTTCATTTTAAATGACAATAGCTTCATTGAGTTCATGGGAAGAAATGCACATTCCTATAATTTCTATTATCCACTTAATTGAATAGAAGAATGTAAATGAGAAAATTTGACAGTGCTGTTTTCCAGCACTAAGCCCTTCATTTTTAGGGCACAATCACAAGGAGATGGAATGATGATTTTTTTTTTTTTCTTTTAAAGTTAAAATAATGGGCACAATGTAGTCAAGTGGGTTTCAGTTGAATGTGGTGGCTTGTCAGTCCTCAGTGCTTTTAATCATCCCCTCCCTGTCTCCAACCCAGCAACCCCATACAGACCCAGGCATGAGTGTCATTTTTGAGGTATCAGATCCCAGTCCTGCAGGCATAGCCCTGTCATAGTTCAACATCTTCCATTCTGAGGTAAGCCTAAGAGCAAGGACCTCTCCCTGCCTCTAAAGTCTTTTCTAGAAGTCATACCCTATTCTATAGTAGGGACTGGAAGCTCCTGGAGCAGAGACCAGCACAGCATGGGGACTCAAAAACTCAGCTGAACAAATGAATGTGGATCACCACCCAAGAGGCTGCCAACCTAGAGTGTGTGCCACTCTGAGCAGATGATCAACCTCATTTTCTGAAACCTCTTCTAGTCATGTTTTGGTAAAAAGTGACATGTGATCTAGTTCCTCAAAAATATTAGTAATTAAAGAAAAAATTGCCTTTTGGCTAACCCAAGCACATAGATGATCTGTCTGCTTTGCATTTGAAGCATTCTACACCTAAGTCTTATTATTATTCCCCATGCCCTCATCCCCTGTTTTTGTTACATGCTGTCAAGTCATCTCTGACTCATAGTGACCCCTCCTTGGGTTTCTGCAGTGGTATCTCTACAGAAGTAGATTGCCCAATCTTCTTTCCGAGTTTGAACTGTGGCTTTGAACCCCAGTGCTCTGGTTAGCAGTCAAGTACCTTAGGCACTACACCACCAGAGCTCCCTCATCCCCAGGTAATCATTAATGTTCTTTTGTCTTGATGCAATTGCCTATCCTAGATATTTGATATAAATGGGATCATGCAGTATTTGTCCTTTTGTGTCTGGCTTATTTCATTTAATCTAAAGTTTCCAAGGTTTATCCATGTGGTAGCATGTATCAGAACTCGATTGCTCAAGATCTTATTATTATTTGGACTAATGAAGGTATGCAGATACAATGAAGTCACTGATATCATACAGCAGAGAGTTAAAAGGGAGATGTCTCTTCTTCCTTTCTGACCCTGTTCTTTGTGGCACAGTATGGCAGAATGCCAGGGCATTCATGACAGTGCTGGATGAGTAGGTCCCTCTGCACAATCAGAAGTTGTGTGGTTGCTTTGTTGGCTAAGCTACTGGCTGGTTCAAGCAGCCAAAAATGACATGCCACATGCTGGAATCTTATGGCTGAGCCTTGTTTCCTCTTCAAAGCCTTCATCAGCAGTGAGTTCTTCCCACAAAAATTTAAACATCATAGCACTCCCGCCCAAGAGGCATTTCATCAAGTGTAGACCTCTCTCTAATTCAATCCATACTGAAGGGATAGTTTTCTGATGTCTATACCCAGGATCCAGCCTCACGCTAGGAATCTAAGTTCTTAGCATGACAGATGTCCAAGGAAATCAAATTTCCTGACCTACCTTGTTCTCGTAAAATATCTGCCTTGTACCAGAACTTGGATGTGTCTTGAACAAACTTCACTGTCACATGCTTATCCCCTGGATTATCTACAAAACATAATTTAAAAGGAGTAACTTGAAGGGTATTATTATGTATTACAATGTCTCACCTCTCATTAACCTAAAAGCTCAAAAAGTCCAATCCCTGGGATAAGGACAGAGTTCTGTAAGAGGAAAATATGCCACATTTGAAATGACTGTCTTGATAGAAGCAGAAACTGTTTTAAAAACACAAATATAAAATAATACTCTGATTAGCACTTTGCAGTACGTTTCAAAATAAGTAGTTATATATGAAGCAAACAGAGCCAGGTTGGTGTTTAATCAGTGTTAGTATCTTATTATTTCTTATACATTTGAAATACAAGATAATTTAATTTTAAAAGAAAGTTATTTTAGGAGATAGAGCCCCTGCCAAAGTCCGCATTATGTACACTTAGAATGGATGTAACTTGGATAAATGCAGAATCACAATGAATTAAGAAGAAGAAATGGACCAATATTTAGCTCATGAGGTAAAAAGATGGCAAAGATGGAATTCATTCAAACATCCTCCAAGTCCTTTAACAGTTTCATGGCTATCAACCCAGAAGTAGAGACTGTGCTTTTGTGGTAAATTGCCTTCCAGTTCAATATATAAATCCAGAGACCCCTTTCTGAGGGAGTAATTATAGAGGAGATTCCTTTCACACACATGGAAACATACCTACCTGGCAAAGGGGATGCCACTTCTGAAGCTTTGGAGAAGTCTGGAAGGACATTTGGGAAGGGGATGCTGATGGTGCTCCCACTGTGGGGGCTGGAGAAGCCGCTTGAGGAAGGTGAGACAGAACCGAAGGAGTGGTCTCCCTCTGAGGTTCGCTTCTTCTCAGGAAGGGGTGGCTGCCCGGGCAGGGTCATCCCTTGGCCCTGCAGGACTGGGCTGTGTTGGCCACTGTGTCCAGGTGGGACTGTGAGGAAGTGATGGGGCAGGAAACCATTGTCAATAGTTCCTACTGCGGTCAGTGGGGCACCGGGGACTGGGGAGGCTCCATGGGAATTGGCCAGCAGGGTTCTTGGGTTCTCCCCAGGTGTAAAGCTGCCTCCCACAGCAGTTCCACTAAAGCTCAGAAAGGCTGGGGCGCTCTGAGAGGCCAGAGTTTCCGGTGGTGGCTCTGCCAGGGACAGCTCATGGCTTTTGAAAGAGCCCTGGAGCTCCGAAGGTGAGAAATGGGGCAAAACTGAGGAGTCTTTCATAGGGCCAGAGAACTCTGAGGTACCAAGGAGACCTGCTGTTGGCCGGCTGCTCCTCAACATGGAAAGCGTGGATTTAGGGCTGGTCTCTAACCACTGGTGTTCTGCAGAGGAAGGGCTGTGTGAAAGAGAAGCAAACCAAAGGAGAAGTTAAGGTCAACTATGAGATTTATGAGATTCCTCAAAATAAGTTGGGGAGGATAAGAATGAGTGGACCTGGAGACTGAAGCTATTGTGTACCACATATGGTATTTCTCAAAGAACAGAATATGTATACTAACTCTCTACAGACTGAGGAATATCCCTTTGATGATTCCACATTCTGGGCCCTTGCTGAATTCATACTACTAGGACTTTCAGGCTCACATTCCACTTCTCACTACAAATCCTTGCTTCCATAGCCCCAAAGACTACCCACCTCATTCCAGCCTCCCTATCTGCTCAAACTCCTACACTGCTTCCACAGCCATCAATGGCTTCTCCATCCTTACTCTTCACTAGCAAAATGTTCCCCTTTCTTCAAGACCAAGTCTAAATATCTCCCTAACTTTGAAGCCCTCCTAGCCTTTTATCCATCACCCCAGTCTCTGTAAGTCTGCACACACAGGGCAACTGGTGATGTCCTCTTCTTTCATCCCATAACTCTGGGCATGTATGTTAACTAGGACACTATCACTGTAGTGGGGCCATTTGCTTATTGTCTCTCTGCCTCTCCTCAGGACAAATGTTTTTCCAGGTAGAAACTTCATCTCCCCATTTCCTTCACCTACCCTTGATGCCTAACATGGGTGCCTGACACAGTCAGTTCAACAGATGATTGCTAGGTGAAGCAGCTAATTAAGGGATGTTAGGAGCTCTGGTAGCATAGTGCCTAAGGCACTAGACTGCTAACCAGAAGGCTGGTGGTTCAAACCCACCAGCCACTCCTCGGAAGGAAGGTTGGACAATCTACTTCAGTAGTGATAACATCTCAAAAACCCAAGGAGGGGTCGCTATGAGTCGGGTGCAACTTGATGGCACATAACAACAACAACAATAACCACCACCAGCTATATCAGAGATTATAACACATTTAGGACTACAGAAAGACAGCTAAGGAAATACCACATAATGTCACATTTAGCAATATTTTATTAGTAAACACTTAACCAGGCACATACCATATGTGTATATGCCAAGTCCTTAAATGAGACTCCTTAAAAAAGAAGTAAGAAAGAAGGTAGATAAGAAGTTAACTAGGGAGGCATATGCCTATAGAAAAATAAAGCACAAAGAAATGTATTCCTACTCTGGGCAAGGGGGTGGCACCACACAAGAATTGCTCAAAGGCAGTCTCTTTGTAAAAGAGAAACAGGAAATTCCTTGCTATCCATGGCCCACTTCCCTTCCCTCTCCCAAACCCACAGAAACTGCTATTCCCATACTTTCCCTGTATTTCTTCTGTGTTCCTATGCTTTCCCATATAACAACACATACACCATGTCCCTGTGAGCCTGCATCATCTTGCCCATCATGCTCTATACCTAGACCCCCATACCAACCATCACACCAATCCTCAGCCATTCTGGAGAAAAGGCCTTGCCTGGCCCTACCACTAACTCCTTTTCCAACCTCAGACCAGGCCATGTGGTCAGGCAATGCTGTTATAGATCCCTAGTCACTAACATTTCAAATCCCAGTTACCTCAGCAGCTTAGCTAAACTTCCTCACTTTCCCATTGGAAACTGGACTCTAAAACTGTACTTTATACTACTCTGCCTCCTAACAGTCAGGGGAGTGAAAAATTTGTATTTATAATATTTTCTGCAGGGTCACTATTTCAATTCACAAGTGTAGCCATGGATCAGCAGGACAGCAAGGTCCCCATTTTTCCATTTTCCTGGCTGACACTCTGCTAAGTTTGAGGTATGTGTGTTAAGTTTAAAGACCCATCTTACCTCTCTCTCCTTTGAACAGGGCTGTTGCTTGAAATGGTGCAGGAAGATGAAAAAGTTTGCTGAAAGGAAGGTGTGGTTGGCATGCCGGCCCAAAGCACTGCAGATTTGGGCCCAGAAGGGCCCTCTGACATCCCCACAGAGTGATTCAGAACATCAGGGCAGCCACGTGGGTCTACAGTGAGAAAAAATAAAGACCAATAGATCTTGGTTAAAGGATATGATGGGTTATAATTTTAGAGTAGCTAATGTGCTAACCCAGAAGCACCTCAGAAGAAAGGCCTGGTAATTTACTCCTAAAAAATTAGTCAGTGGAGACTTCCTGTACAATGGAGGAATAGGCAGACAAGTGACACAGACCATCTTCACCAAAAAAAAAAAAAAAAAAAAAACCAATTGATAGAGATACAGAAGATAATTCTGGAGCCCTGAGCTTTGAAAGGAACTATACAGATGTGGATTAGGCATCAACTAGAGGAAAAACCTGAATGAAAACAATGAGTACAGAGATTGTCAGAGCTGCGGACTGTCAGCTACTCTGATGAGACCAACAGACTAAATATTTCCAAGTGGTGTTGGGACCTGAGAATTGACCAAAAGATCAGTCCCAGTCACAAAGGGCTGCAGGGATAACTGCACTGGTGGCCTATGAGTAGGAAGGGAAATAGCAAGGAGGCAGACAACCTGAGCTGTGGACTTTCTGCTGCCCGGAGGGTGCAGCCATTTTGATTATTTACACATGGCAGCCATTTTGGATATTTAAAGAGCAGAGGGCATAGCCATTTTGAATGTTTACAAGTGGTGGGCATTTTGGATATTTAAAGTGATCGAGGGTGCAGCAATTTTGAATGTTTACAAGGGGTGGCCATTTTGGGTATTTAAAGAGACAAAGGGTGCAGTCATTTGAATGTTTACAAGTGGCAACCATTTTGGATTTTAAAGTGATAGCATTCTCATTCGGATTCCAGGGACCTAAGGACAGGCTCTGTTTGCCAGGGTCAGCAAGGACATATGAGAGGCTGACAAAGGAAAGGAGACAGGTGGTGAGTATATAAATCTGTCAGCCAGTGAATAGAGGAGCACAGCACAGTACCCTGCCTGCATAGATAATATACAAACAAAACAAAGAAAATGAAAATTGTGAGCAACTCACTTCAACATATAATCACCAATTAAATATAAACACAAAAACTTCACAATGCCTCAGAAACAACAGAGCATCACAGTCCACACAAAGAAGCAAGATAAAGGAGGAGAAACAAGAGACCAGGATACAGACCCAAAACACATCCGTGAGGAAGATGCAGCATTGCAACTCCCTGATAAGGAATTCAAAAAAATATATTTAGATATCTTCAAAAGATTGACAGACAGATCAAGGAAAACACAGAAAAAACCCTAGAAGAATTTTGGAAGAAAATATAAGAACAAAATGACAAAATAAATGAAAAATTAGAAATGATTCCAAATCTACAGATAGAAATCCAGAAGATTAATACTAAATTGTCAAAACTCAAAATCATTTGGAGAAAACAAAAGGGGAGGGAGCCTGGTCTGCTGGTCCGATAGAGCCTGGTGGAACCACTGAGACTATGGCCCCTAGCTTCCTGTCAGGTCTGGAATTGAATCAACACCTGTGGCTTCCAGCCAAACAAAAGACAGGCATATGAGTTGAACATTTACCTGAGGTATATACACTCCTTAGAGAGAACAATCATGGGAGAAAGAAGGGCTACTTATGCACTGGGAGACAGCTCAGGGTGCAGGGGAGCATGGAGGGATGAACACAGGGAAGAGGTAATTATCAGAAGGAAGTGGGAGGGGAGCTGTTGCATTGTGGTAAATTGTGGTCAATGTCATGAGACAAAGTGTAAGTGAACTGCTGTATGGAAAGTGAAT